ATAAGCCCACTAGTTTGTCCCGCCTTTGCCCTGGCAGGGTTGGTTGCCGTTTCTCGCCTTTGGGGGTGATTGACAGGTTGGTGTTATATAACTGATCACATGGTAGGTTACATAACAGGTTGGTTATGTAACAGTTTCCTTTCCTGCATATGTGTCTTTTCTAGAATTCTCCAGAAAGCTCCACACATGTTATGCTAATTAGATGATAATGAGCTCTAAGTCAGTTAATTGTTCCCACCAGGGAACAATTTCTGCTGCAGTTTGGTTCCTAGCTACAATTTGGTTCCCACTCTCTGCCCCTAGCCACTTCCTTGCCACCTGTTTACTCTCCACCAGGCCTAATAGTATAGGGGGAAAAATAGATATTCCAGAGTTAGGGAAGAAAATTCTTATCTCCAGGTATGTTCAGGCAGTGACACGTTGACATAACAAAATTTGTTATTATAATAGTGAGGTCTATACTTTTAGCAACCAATCAATCTTTAGTGGTACAAGGACTATATGCAAAGTGCCAAGCCAGGCTGTTGAGGGAGATTCAGATACACACATGTAGCTGAAAGGGAGATTCATCATTCAAGAAAGGACTTGCTGCCCAGTTGTAATGGGTGTGATTAGCTGATGGCTTTCATCTGTTAACTCTTAGGTCTACACTGCCTTCAAGCCCAGGTCACCTTTTCTCTTTCGAGAGTGGCTCCCAATTGATGACTAAGACAGATGGTGATACAAGGCCTAGCTCTTTCTTCCCAACATGGACTCCTTTAATAGGCAATTTTTGCTCTAGTGCTCTCCAGAAGGCAGGTAGAGACATTGCCAGTTGTGTATAATGTTCTGCCATGTCCCTCTGTCCATCCTGCAGCTCATTTCTTTCACAGATGTTACTTAATGAACCTTTTACATTCCCAACTCCATTTCAGCATTTGCTTCTTGGAGAACCCAATCTGTCATGACATGAAATATACAGTTCCTATAAATTCAAGAAAGCAGTGTATATCATATAATAAGAGTGTTATGGATTATTAACTATAAGACTATGAAAACTGTGATTGAGCAATTAAGGTTATAGATTTTAGGGAAGGCACATCAGTTTGGTTTTCAGAAATTTTGTAAAATAATTTCTATTTTTTAAAACAAAGTAAATGAGTAAATCTTTGTTATTAGTATTCCTGGTGAATTTATATATTAAATTTTATTACCTTGGACTCCATTTCCTAATGTATTCTTTGTTGGTTTAGGTGCACTAAAGTCAAATTATAAAATGTTTTGTCAAAACAGATTTGTAATTCAATGTGAATTGATTTTTAAGGTTACATTATTAAAGCCAAGATTGGCCTTCCAAGATGAGTGAGCAAAGGAACATATATATGGTTCATCTTTAACCTCTTACATGTATGAATCAATTTCTGTTAGCAGCTTCATGTGGGGGCACCCTGCTCTGGTGAGGGTTCATCTTATGGGACCTAGTGATGGTGTGTTTCAGTTTAAGAAACAGAGACAAAAACTGGTGTAAATCAGAGTTGGGGGCCAAGGCAACCACCTGGGAAAAAAGGGTGACAGGGCTCAGAAGAGAATTTTAAAGTCAGTGGAGTTATTGGAAATGGTAAGTGAGCAAAGTGCCTTGATAATTTCTGTAGAATTCAGTGTCTGGACATCACTTTTTCTGAAAAAGGAGTGTCCACGATTTAAGAGTTGTTCTAATGAAGGATACCATCTCTCAGCTATTAAGGAATAATATACTCAATCAAGGCAAGGATGAGGCAAGATAATCACTCCCTCCTTTGGAGTTGCAGGTAGGAGGAAGTTAACTTATTAACTATAAGTTAATACAAAAATGAGTACTAAAAGTGCTCATACCTGTTGTACCAGTAATTCCATTTTTAGAAATTATTCTTAGGATAATGAGATGTGGACAGTTTTATAAGCAAAAATTCACTGCAATATTTATAATAATAGTATCTACTAAAGGATTAGGTAACAGTATGTTAACTAATGTTAACATATGGAACATAACAGTATGTTCCATATGGAGTTCTGAAGCTGCAGGATTTTCATAAGGACTTTTTTTTTACATTTACAGTAATACAATAGTTTTACACAGCTATTAACATTTATACATGGAATATGTATGATATAAAACTAGTAAAGACAGTATTCTCCCCTAAATTGTTATGTATCAAATGAACAAAAACAACAAAAGAGTAGATGGAAATAGCCACTAATATGTTGGTTTTTCTGGATGGCAGAATTTGGGAGACCAAGTTTGCAAAAATGCATTGCTGTTTTTGTTTCCTACAAGTGACCCTTTAACAAAAAATTTTCCTGCAAATTTGGCTAGCTAGCAGTCTTTATGGAATTGTAGAGTATGGACTGTCAAAAGAATTTCTTCTTGCTTTTGACAAGTGACATTGATGGCCTCTTTCCTCAAAACCTATGCAGTAATGCAATTGCCCCCTGAGTTTACACTTTTCTTAAGCATCTGGAAGGGAGTTGTTCTTTTTACTGATAGCAAGGGCAGAACTAGGTTAATGAGATCATGCCTAATTCAAGATGGCAGCCTGTTACTTGGCATATAGTAGGGTATATTGAATAAATGCATTCTAATCTCTCTACATTCTTTTTGAAAGCATGCATTGAGGTGATTACTTCTGTTGCTACCAGTTCTATCAGCTATGACTGCAGCTTCATGTGGTGGGTAGTATATTATCTGTTTATTCTAACATAAGCAAGTTAGCCTCTTTCCTCTAACATGGGTGGACACATTGACATCCCAGAAGACTAACACCTAATTGGAAAAAATGTGTTCCATATGGAGTTCTGAAGCTGCAGGTTTTTTATAAGGACTTTTTTCCTTATAAGTGCACTTTTTTTCTATAAATAAAAGCAATGTTTTTTTTTTTTTTAATACATTACACTGAACACAAAGTTTTCCTTGATGCCAGTTGTAATGAATGTGTGTGGAATAAGCAGAGTACTATGATGTAGCCTTTGGAACTTTTCTTTGAACAATTCTTTCATTTCCCGGTTTTAGGACTATATACTAATTCTTAGAGGCAGCAAGGACCATATTTAGCTTAATGACCTTCTGTTCAGAAGTGTCTTTCCCTAGGCTTAGCTTTTAAAGGAAAGACAAAAGCCAACTGCTTCTGAGTGATTATCTTCCCTGCATAGAAACTGACAGGCCTCTCAAAAGTCTGACTTGGCAGTAGTCAAGACATCATTTCTCACTAGATAATGGATCAAAAGGTGTCTCTTTCTAACTCATGCCCTTTATCTCATTTGCAATATGCTTATTCACGGAGAGAGGAAAAATAAAATAAAGCAAAACCAAAAAAAAAAGTGTCCTTTACTATTTAGTTCTGCTAATTGAGAGGCCTTCAATTTCCATAATTAGTTTCACTCAATTGTGTTGAAGACTGTAGGTTTATGGAAATCCATCACCTCCAAAATCTAGGTCAAAATCTCTTCTAAACCTACATGTATTGACTTAACAGAATGCCAAGAAAAATTAAAATTAGATCTAATAGCTTGATGTAATTGAGACTTTTTGGCCCCCGAATAGAGAAAAACTCATTGAAATTTCTTCACAAGTATAATTTCTCATTGTTTACAAACATACCCTGTAAATTGGATCAACAAAGGGAATATATTCATAGTCCTTCACTTCAAAAACCTTCTGGCAGTAGGAATTCTTGTTTTGCAGCTAGGGAAACAGGTTCAGAGATTAGATAGAACGTCCAGAATCACTTGGCTCACCAACCTGGAGCCTCCCTCTAAGGGGCTGCATGCCCTTACTGGTTATGTGCACAGTTAGGGTGAGTTTCACGGTTATCTAACAGAATTGTTTTGGCAGTCCAAGGTAAACTTATTGTATGGACATTTGTGCGTGGGGATACAAAAAAAAGGGAGATGTCCAGTAGGGGCAAAATCCAACCCCTGAAACATTTACACAACCTGGCAGTCACTTCAGAAAGATTTCAGGTGATACAGTTGCACTCTTTTAACGTTTTGATATGCAAGCCCTAATTAATAACGCAGGTGAGAGCGATCCCCTCATCTTCCATTCTCCCTAAGCTCTGTGGGGCACTCCAATCACCTGTGCTTAAGATAGCTGCGTCTGGCATCGCCTGGTTGTTCATAGCCTGAATCTTAAAAAAAAAAAAAAAAAAAAAAGCCTTGCGTGTTCTTACCCAGCTTCCTGTCCAATTCAGGCTTCCCCTTTCCCCCCAGTTTAATGTAGTATTGACATTACCAGGAAATGCACAATGCTTATATTTTACCTCTTAAAATGACATCGGGTCACAAATATTATATTTGGGTCTTTTCAAAGAGTTTCTTATTCTATCGCTTATTTGATTCAGGGGCGTTGGATTCGTGCTCAGCGCTTAAAGCCTGCAAATAACTAACTTCTTCCCAAGTGTCTGAGGGAGTAAAACTGGCTGCATCCAAGTCCTGAAACGGTTTTTTCCCCAGAGGCTGTCTTCGCAGGGGGCTAGTGTGTACCCTCAGGAACATCAGGCTGGAATAGTCTGCCTTAGCAGATTCAAATGATGAAGGTGTGGAAGGTCTTTCAGTCCTCAAACCCCGCGAACAGGCGTGCCCGTTCAGAGTACCTTTCCACACACTTCTCGTCCCACTGGTGCCCTCTCATGGAGGCAGTTTTTAGGAAAGCGCTCCGGGAGACACAATGTCACTGGCTACCACACCTCCCGCGTTACACAGCTTGTTTCCTACTGGGGGGTGGGCGGGGACACCAAGGCTCTTCGGCCTGAGTTCAGCACCAGCTGATTTTCCGCTCTCCAGGCTCGCTCTTCCGCCTGCGCCGCCCTCGCCTCCGCCCCCAGCACACCCAAGCCGGAGCCCTAGCCGCTCCCGCGCTACTCTCCGGGCACCCGCAGGGGCCTGCGTTTTATAGGCGCCGCAGCCAATGAGCGCTCTCCTTCTCTTCTGCCCGCCCTCCCGGCCAATCGCCGCGCCCCTTGTGTAATCTTCGGCTACTCGGCTGCTCTCGGCTATTTTCGCTGTTGCTGGCTTTTTCAGGGGCTGCTCGCTCGCAGCCAGAGACGCTGCTTTTTTTCCGGGTTCGGAGTCGTTCCGGATGCTTTAGGCTGCCGGATGTCTGATCTCCGGATAACTGAGGCGTTTCTGTACATGGATTATCTGGTAGGTGTGGGGCAGGGGGTGGGTGTCGCCCCTCGGATCTCGGCGTGCCGGATGGCCCCCTGCCTTGAGGAACAGCCTTTTTGCTTTCTTTCTTTGGGATGGGATGCCTTTGGGGTCCTTTCTCCCGCTGCCGGCTCTGAAGCTGTGCCCGGGACTCGGAGGGGCAGCAGCCGGGGCGGCTGGGTGGTGGAGCTGACAGGTAAAGGTGCGGCCCGGGCCAGCCGGGCTGCGGGGCGAGGGTCGCGCTGGAGCTGCCGGAGAGACGCGGCGGCCGCTGCGGGGCGTCCCCTGCCCGCGGTCGGTTTCCTTGCTTCCCTCTGCGCTCCCGGCTGAGGACTTTCTTTCCGGGGAAGCAAGAGTTTTCTGCTCTCCCTTTAGCTGAACTCCAGGTACTATTAAAGAGCCATAACCAGAATGGTTCACTAAGTGCCCGGCAGCCCTGGTCATTTGGTTGTTATTAGATCTCTAAAGCTATGACCTCGGTCGTGGCCGGGTTTTAAAAGCACATTACCATAAAGTAGAAGGGACTAAACTACATCGCAACCTGGCCAGAGCAGGACAGAGTAAGGACAGGTACTGCCCCAGCGTTCCGGTCGTGGGTGCCTGCCGCTGTCGCTTTGTGCACGGATTGGATCCCAGCTGTGCTTTTAGGCCAGGCTTCTCTTGTGCTGAGAAGTTTAGGTGGGAAAAGTGTCAGCACAGTGCTGGGACTGAACATCATTGTAAAATTGACTTGTGTATATGTTTGTGGAATTATGCAAGCATCGTGTTTTGTTCCAGAAATTATATTTCCCCATAGCTGCCTGTTTGTGGTTAAGGGGATCCTCATTTACATGGGCTGTGTTCGATCCTGTGCAATTACTATGCTTACTATGCTAAGCAGAACCGCTATTGCCATGCAGAGTTGAAGTAGATGGTTAGAAACATTGACCCTCCTGTCATCTTGTTGGACACATGCACTCGGTTTTCGACTGCAGATTGGCTTGGCAAAGATTTGCCAGTGCCTTCTAGGAATTACACTTAAGGCTGTGCTGAGAAAGTCTCTGAATAATTTTATGATTAAGAAACGCTGGGCAAAGACTGGTTTTTGTAATATTATCTGTATATTTGGGCTTATTTTAGTTTACACGAAGAAAATGTTTCTCCTAAAGCTTCATAGCTCGATGAGCTTGTGCGGCACGGTGGTGATTATAGTTAATGCATGACCTTGTGAATGGAACTGAGTCAGAAATTGAGTTCAAATTCTGTTTTGCTGTTCATTTGTTGATAGTAGTAACTTCCTCTGTCTTTGTGATAAAGGAATGTTATTCACACACTATTGTAGCTGATTAAAGGGGTTATCTGATTACGAACATTCTTTAAAATGCAAGGTGCCTTGTAGATTAAGAGAGTTGCCAAATGTGTCTGAACGATTATTTTCTGAGTTAAATAACTGATTAATTTGTAATTTGTCTTATAAAATACAGTACTGTGGTTTTATTTTTGCAGTCTGCCCAAATTAAAGCCACAGTTTGTTGACAATAATTACCAAATAGGAAAGGGTGACATTACCTATACTACCAAAAGCTAATTTTGAATACTTAAGTAGTGTCTTAAAAGAAAATCAGATGGTCTTGATCATTGTATTAATCTTTTTATTTACTGGGTGTGTTTTAAATTTACAAATTGCATCACAAAGCTACCTTTGAAAGTATTTAGTGAAAACAATATTGATAACTCTGGTTAATTACTCAGGTTAATGTAGTGGTCTAAGGATGAGTAGATGAATGTTTGTGGGCTCAACATTATCCTAAAAGCAGATTAATTTTGTTGCCAATTTACTAAAAGCTTTGTGTCAAAATCACTGGGCCTTAAATTTGACTTGGTCTTTCGTTTTACCTGCCATGCCCCCACATACCCTAGTTTTGCTCTTGTATCAGGATAATAATTATTTTGTCACTGTATGCATTTAAAATTCACAAATGCAGCAAAACAGTCCCATAAAAATAATTGGCTACTCTTTGTAGGTGAGAAAAAGTCTTAAAGGAAACAAATTGTTTTTTGTGAGGGTGCAGGGTATCTGCTGTGAAAAGATTTAAGAAAATCCTTCAGTATTAAATTGGACTGAAACAAACAAAAAAACTTTAAAACAAAAAACTGGCCCTCTTGAGGTGACCTTTTTGGGTTTACTTTTTACTGGTCAACTTTCAGAGGGAAATGATGTGCCACACATCATTCCTTTTCCCCTGCCTTTCAGATTGACTTGTTTGCTTATGCATAATCTTTGTATGGTGTTTATTTAGTAAAAGCCTTATTTCTGAAAAATAAAAATCAATTTCTTTGTCTGGATTCTTAGCTTTTAAATAAATCAATTCCCAAGTTCTTTTACCTTCCGTAAAAAAAATACTCCTTTCATTCCAAATTTGACTCCTGATTTTGCCAAACGGACTAGATAAGTGTCCTTTCCCTGCATTTGACAGGAGTAATGGCATGTGTCACTTCTTTTTAAATCAGTATTTAACTTTCTTGTTGCTGTTGGAGGCTGGAAGAGAGGGCCTGTGTGTGTGTGTGTGTCTATGTATTGTCCATTGTTCTTTGGGCTGCATATCATCAGTTAACCTTTTTTATTTGGATGAGAGTGGAAAGGAAGAGGAAGGAAAGAAAGGTGGAGGAGCTACTTTTTAAAATAGGATTATTCCTTTTAATAGGGTTGAGATATTAAAACAGATGAAGAAGCTCTCTGACCTTAGAGGTTGCTGTTGATTTCTTAATTTAAAAAGAAATGTTCTCAATTAGAAGTGACAGCCAAGGTGAGGGGATAGGGATACTACTTTAATATTTAAGACAGGGTTGATTTCACCTCAGGAAAGTAGTGGCAATTTGCTAATGCTAAATAATTAATATGAATCACCTGGTGTGCTGCCTGAGTTGGTTCCTGACTTTGTTTAGGGCCCCGTATTTTATCTGTTGAACTGAATAATTGTGAAATGGAAAGGACAATTCTACTTTTTCTCACCAGCTTCTAACCTGAGACAAGATAAAATCTGTTTGGATTAGGTGTTTTGTTGTGGGGAATGCAGAATGTATCCTTTACGCTCTTAACTTTAAGATTATCAAGATATAATTTGTTTAGCCAGGGTGGCAATTTAAACACAAAGATCTCAGTTTTCCAATTAAGTGACTCTTCCTAGGAGGGCGCACTCCTTTCCCCCCTTTTCATGATGGGGTTTAAAGGCCACGTTCACACCTGCCAGGTCTGTGGGTAAACATTTAGCTGCCCTCCCAACCGGTAGTGCCATCATCTTACCTTTTCTCTTTCCTAATAGGTAGAAGTAGTAAGACAATGTGCAGAGCTTTTTCATTAGGGTAGAAGAAAATAGTCAAGTTATAATGAAAGAAAAACATCTACCAAGTGTTCCTGGGAGGTTGGACAAGATCAACTTCTAGAATCTTTTTAGTTCAAAATTTTGTCTTTACTCATGTTGATTGATCTGTAGTTCACGTTTTTTCCTCTTGTGCTAGCAAAACAACAGCAGTAAAATTGGTTATACTCTATATAATGCCCGTGATAATTAAGTGAGATAGTGGAGGGAAAGCAATTTATAAATAGCACATAGCTTCTTAAATATAAAATGTTAATGTATTGTGATTATGTTGCTGATATTATTCTTATACCTCCTGTGGATGGAATGACTATTGCTGCTTAATGGTAAGTATTGAGCTGCCTTTTAAACTAGTCTCAATTTATGGAAAGGCTGAGAGCGGTCGGTAATTAGCAAGCAGGAAGTCATAAGACTCTTGAGGATCTTCTAACACTGATAAAAATAAAACCACATTCTGCTATTTATTAATTCACTCAACAGATATGTATGGAACCCCTACTTTGTGCATGGCCCTGAAAGTCATGGGTGATGAAGCCTCAGCTGTAAAATCTCCCTTGGCTGCAGGACTGTCTGTCGGAGGTGGCAGGACAGTTGAGTAGGGCATGTAGGGGAGGAGTCAGCTTCCAACATGCTTTCTAGTACTTTTCTCTTTATTTCTTTGTTTTATTGTGAGCTGAAATGTAAAGTTAGACATGAAAATGTGATAAGGAAAAATGCTCAGTTAGCTGTGGATGCTAATTGTCAATTAATGTTCATTACATTTATATTCACTAGTTCCCCTTTATCAGAGGTTTCACCTTCTTTGGTTTCAGTTACCCATGGTCAACTGAGGTCCCAAAATAGGTGAGTACAGTACAATAAGATATTTTGAGAGAGAGAGAGACACCACATTCACATAACTTTTATTATAGTGTGTTACTATAATTGTTCTATTTTATTATTAATATCTTACTGTGTCTAGCTTATAAATGAAGCTTTATCATATATGTACGTATGTATAGGGTAGAGTGTTGTATATATAGGGTTCAGTATTATCTGTGGTTTTAGACAGTCACTGGGGATCTTTGAATGTATTCCCTGTAGATAAAGGGGAACTATTGTGTTTGAGATTTAATGAGGTTAAATTTAATAAGGTTATTTAATAAGATTTCTACTTTGTATAGACTGGTGAACCTGGTCTAGTTTCTTGGTGATAGGCTATATCTGCCATAATAAAGATTTGTGTGTCAGTGGGGAAGATCTAATAATGGAATTGGCTGGATCATCACAAATTCATCACCATTCACAGGGTAAAAACCAACCAACCATCCAACCAACCAAGAACAGAAACTCATGATATGCTACAAGGGCAGAACCCATTTGAAAAGACCAGTAAAGGTGCATTTGTGATTTACTATGATGTTCAGTTATCTGTGAACTGAACTTTTTTGTTGATTAAAGTGTGCTGTTTCTAATCCTGAATGACTATAAACATAACAAGCTGTATTTGTTATGACTGACTATAAAGTAATAATATAAGTCAAACACTTTTTAGTGTTAATGTCAACTGGGTTAGGCAGTCACATTAAATATTCCTTAATAATTTGCAAGATAAAGATCATGTGAGCACAATAAACAGATCTAGCATCTGTGGAGTTC